TATATTCACCAAGATTTATCTCAGACAACAAGTATTTCCACATTTGATAAGGCTTCATTCTTATCTTACAGGTTAAAGAGCTGCAAGCTTTTACTTATTTTATGACATCTTTTTCAACTTTTGCAATTAGTACTTTTTATTGGTTTTGAGGTCTTGGGCTTTCATTTCCTCAAGAGGTGCATTTTCAGATTATTCATTATTTTCCTCCTCCATCCTACATATTTGCATGATACATTTGTTTATGTGCTAGCAGGTAATCACAGTCTACCAATTTAGGTAGAAAATGTAAAGCAAATGCTTCAATAAACACAGGTGCTTAGGTGCTTATATCTAAATATACAACGATCCATATGCACTGGAAACTATTTGCATAATATGCTCAAACATTAGAAGTTGTATCTGCCTTTACTGCTTGTGAAAAATTTAAGTACTCTCAGTTTCTAATTTCCTTTGCTAACTTCCATTCTATCTAGTTGCCCAAGTAGTGTCTCAAGTTGTGAAATAAAAGATAAAACAAGGTAATGGATCATAATTTTAAATCTTCTGAAATATATCTCAAATGATAATAAGAGGAAGCTATACAGTGGTAAGTTGTGAAAAGAAAGCACAGAATAGTGAGAAAAATCTGTTTTCTGTTTGAGGCTCTGCCACTTCCTAGTGGTGTGAGCATTAATTAGCAAGTTGTCATCATGTGAACCTCAGTTTTCTTATCCATAAAATAGGAATATTCTCATCTTACAGGTACTAGTGCTGAGAAGCAAAACTTTCTTAAAATGCAGAACACTACTAAGAATCAGAACTGAGTCTAAGGACCATTCATTTATAACCATATCCTGAAAAGCTCATATAATCAGGTTTTATTTTTCTGAAGAGCACTGTTCCCTTACACTACTACTTCTTTTTTTCTTTTAAATATTTTTCAGAGACAGCACCATACTTTTGAGAGGGATGGTGCTGTTATCAAGTGGTTTCTGGCAAAAGACTCCAGAAACACATTTAGGAAAGAGAAAAGGAGAACAAAACAGCAAAATAAATTGCGCAGTAATCCGAATTTTATTTTCAATTGGGTTTAATGTAGATAAATGGCAATACTCTATGAGTCTCTGCATTAATAACTTACAGTGCTGTTGGGTGTAATCTTTTCCAACTGCCCAATAGTTTTGATGTAAAAATCTAAAAAGAGCTTTAGGCATGAAGGAGTCAATAATGGTTTTAACCCTTGGAGACTTAAACAGATTTATTTGCCGATGTTTTTCCATTAATGAAGATTACCTAGTGAAGTCCCTAATGACACTTGTTTATAACAGATCTCCCAGGAAGCAGAAATCTACACACTATAACCAAAGTTAGCACTACTACAGAAATTACTCTCTCCAGATATCTAAAAGTTAATAAAGATCTCTATACCTGCAGATTCAACCAACATCCAGATCAAATACATTAGGAAAATAATTGCATCTGTACAGAACATGTAGACTTTTTTTTTCATTGTTCCCTAAACAGTAATATATAACAAGTATTTACATGCATTTACATTGTACTAGTAAAAGCTTAAGGAAGGATGTACATACATCATATGCAAATGCTACACCCTTTTATATAAAGGACTTGAGCACCTGGAGATTTTGGTAGCCAGGAACAAACCCACGTAGATACTGAGGAATAAGAGTGCTTGGAAAAATGTAAGGTTTTTCTACTACCCTACAGGAAATAAACAACATGCTTTATTAACAACTGTGTGGGAAATTTCTCTCCCTCAACTAAAATTTACATAAGGTGAGGGAAACTCTGTCTGAATGTGCTGATTTTGACCAGTGAAAGTAATACTGAAGATTCGAAAGTCAGATTCCTATAGCACTATGAATCTGTATGGGTAGTATAGATTTTCCCAAGTAAACATGTCACAGCCTCCTTCCTAGGCTGAATTCCCATCATGAATTTGTCGAACAATACATTCTTTTTTTTTTTTTAAGAGAGAGAGAGATAAAGAGAGGGAGAATTTTAATATTTATTTTATTTTTTTAGTTTTCAGAGGACACAACATCTTGTTTGTATGTGGTGCTGAGGATCGAACCCGGGCTGCACGCATGCCAGGCGAGCGCGCTACCGCTTGAGCCACATCCCCAGCCCAAACAATACATTCTAATACCTTCTTTTTTCCCCCATTAACTCTTCCATTAGCACATAACAGGATTTTCCCCTCTTTACTATATTATAGTATTTCATTATGTAAATTTGCCAGTTTCTTCAAATATTCTCTAATTGCTGGATGCTTAGTTGTTTCCAATCTTTTGCTTTTATGTACACTATTTCAATGAATAACTTTGGGTTCAATCTGTACACAGAATACTGAGTGACACTCTATGGTCAAAGGGTAAAAGGCATCTGTAATTTTGATAGATACTGCCAGTTCGTCTTCCACAGACACCATGCCACTTTGCACTCACATCAAATGTATGAGTATTTATTTTCTATAAAATAAAATAAAATACTATAAAATATTAATATGTGACTATAAAAATACACATACCATAGACCACTCCCTAAATTCTGATTCAGTAGATAAAAGGGTTGGACAGAGTAGGACTATCTTGAAAAACTACCCAAAAGCACATTTCTAATTGAGAAATCCCCATTTTTAAAGGTATTCTTTGTCTTATTTACGTTGTTCAAATCCAAAAGAAAGTCTCCTTTAGTCTCTAAAATTTACACTCCATGATCACTCATTCAATACTTTTTGAGTGCTTATAATATGCTGGGTACTCCAGATGCCAAGGATATAATGGTAAATAACAGTATCCATCATCAGGTATCCTCATGATCTAACAACGAAAGGCACAGAAATATAATGATAAGGTATAAATATTAAGCATAAGAGACGTACATAAACTGTTATAACATTGAAGGGGGGAACTTTATCCTAACTGAAATGCTGGAGGAGGACTGCTGAAGGAGGTGCCTCTAAGATGAGGAGGAATTAACTAGTTAGTCAAAAGGAAAAGAGGTAAACACAAAGAAGAGGGCACTCTAAGTTGAAAACAACACATGCAAAAGTAGGAAGGAAAAAATGGATGAGATATGTATGTGTATGTCACTGCAAATATCTTATATGGCTAAAACATAAAGTACAAGAAAGTGAGAAAATACAGGCTGCAGAAACAAAGATCAGATCACTGAGCATCTACTATGTCACATTAAGAAGATGGAATTTTATTCTATAGGCAAAAGTTAACTAAAGGGTTTTAAGGCTGAGAATGACATGGTCAAATTGCTATTTTAGACTTATTGACAATCAGCTGGAAAAGCAAGTAATTGGAAAATGAAAGAACAGTTAGAAAACTGATGCAGTAATCCAGATGACAGTATCAGGGTAAGGATTAAGGGAAAATGGACTGAAGAAATCTTAGGAGGTAAAATTAGATAGATACACATGTTAGATGTGGGGATAGAGGTGAATGAAAAGATAATTTCAAGGTGGTATCAATCTGGTACCAGGGAAAAACTAGATTGTTTTTATAACATAAATATGTATTGATGTAATAATTTTTCTATCGGGAGACAATGCCTGTAATACCTTGTTCCTCTAATAAGAGTCTCATATCTACAGGTAGCAGAATTTTCCACTGACATGAGATAGCGGGCCCATGGAGTGACACATTCTATTTCTAAAATGTCTTTCAGGAAAACACCCCAAGATTGCCCTCCATGTTAAAGAACTCTTCATGTGTCAGGCGTGAGGGAAAGAGAGGACTGTCCTCTATCAGAAAATAATTCCATCTTCTTGTTTTCTCTTAATAGCATCAGAAATTTGCTTCCACAGTGAGGTTCAGGGTGTTAAGCATGACACTTTGTTGACCTTTATTCTCACACTCAGGCTGTTAGGTATTCACTGTCCTGGTGCAAGCAAATCAGAGTGACTAGAAGAGCTCATGGAAAATGTGCGCAGAAGCCTGGGAAGCACTAAGCACTAAGCACAGTTCCTACAGCTCATAGGGAAGTGTTTGGCACCTGGCCTTCCTCCCCATATCCAAATCCCCTGTCCAGACTTCTAGACTATGACACCTGCTCCATTCCCCTGAATTTGTCTATCAGCGAAGTACTAAATTTAAGCCTTTTTTTTTTTTTTGGCCAGGCACAGTGGTGCACACCTGTTATCCCAGTGGCTCAGAAAGCTGAGGCAAGAGAATCACAAGTTCAAAGCCAGCCTCAGCAACTTAGCCAAGCCCTAAGCAATTTATTGAGACCCTGTCTCAAAATAAAAAGGGCTAGGGATATGGCTCAGGGAAAAAAAAAAAAGATTTAAGCTATTTTATCTGATTCTGGTATTTTTGAAACCAGGACAGATGTATGGAGCCCAGCAAAACTAGTGAGTTTATCCTCATCAGCATCATGCTTTAACCAACAAAGTAAAGCAACAACAGGCAACCCCAAAAGGTAGGCATATCCTGCATGGTCATATCTCTGATGCACCCTTTCTTGGAATAACTCCTAGAGTTTCTTGACTTCATCTTCCTCTATGCCCATGAAGCCAGTGACCCAGAAAATTGCTAACAACATACATAACTGCCAGTAAGGGGAAGGATATGTGGTTGAGCTTCTGGTGCTGCGTTACTAAAACCTAACCCATCCCAGCCAAGCTTTACATTAGTAAGAAATTTGGGAAACCTGAAGTACTGCCACCAAACAAAGGCAACCTTTGGCAGTGAGGAAATCTAGGGAAAGGATCCCCCCAAAAGGCTCCCTACCATAACATTCCCATGCCCCTGATTTTTGCAAGTCTAATGGTCCTGTAGGGATGAAGCAGAAGGAAGTTGTGTGTTAACTAAATTAGGCGTCTTTCTTCACCTGCAGGGTTCCTACAAAACAAACCAAAGAAACTAAGTACTAATAATCAACTGAAAATAATTCCACTGCTTAAAATGTCCAGGAATAACACACACACACACACACACACACACACACACACTCACTCACACACACAGAGTAACATCAAGGCTTACCTTTCTCTTATCTTCATCTGTTGATTCAAATTTGAAAGTAGCCCTATGCTGAGGAGGGAAAAAAGGGAAACAAAATTATTTTAAATACACAGATTTTAAACTTAGGCTATGTTTAAAAATACAGGAAATAATATCCCTCTAAAAAGTTGCTTTCCCCTATCTCAATATCTTATTAAGGAAGAGACAGGCATGTAAGCAAATAATTATAAAGCAGTGTGAAAGACTGTAGCAGAAATATACACAAAGGAGTACAGAGAACCAAGTTACTAATTGCCCAGGAAAATTGAAATACTCGAACAAAGCATAGAGCATGTGAACTGTTTCTGGAAGGATAAATGGGAATTTGCCAGGGGGCAAGTGGAGAGCATCCTAGGGACAAATACAAAGACTCAGATGTGTGAAACACTATGATATATTCATGAAACAAGCAGCTCTGAGGCCAGAACACAGGACACACGTTAGGGGATGAAGAAGATGAGAATGAAAAAGTAGGTTGAACAGAGATTGACAGTGTTGCAGAGGAAATTGTATTTCCTTTCTCATATGCAATAAATCTTCAGAAAATTTTAAGGACACAATATTTTAGAAAAGTAATTCTGTAAGAATAAGAGTTTAAATCATGGATCATGGCTCCACCACTTACAAGTTGTGACCCTGAGCAAGTAAACTGACTAGGTTTCTCATCTGGAAACAGAGGGTAGGTTCACAGGTTAAGTGTGAGAGTTCAAAGAGCTAAGGCATATAAAATACTTTCTCAGTGCCTGGCATACAGTAAATTTCCAGTAAATATTAGGGTCATAATGATGATGATGCCAATGATATTGAGTAAAAATAACTGAAAGGGAAGAGAATGCTAAGATTCTCCTGAAATAACTGGCAACGCTCTTATTTTCCACTTTGGAACTAAGTAGGAGAGAATGGAGGATAGAATAAACTGACTTAACCACAGAAAAGTGGGTATCAAAGAAATAGAGTACAGAATTCCTCATTTTCCTCTCAAGTTTCAGTCATTATATATATAAATAAATATGTGCACTTATGAATCCTAAGCCCTCCTTTAAATAAAACAAACAAACAAAAAACAACTCTAAACATCCCTCTACTTTTCCTTTGTATTTCTCTCCTTGGCCACATTGACATATACATACTGGCAACCCACCAAGAGATAAGCATATTAAGTAATAAAGATAGACTCACCACAGGTGTTTCTGTGTTGACAGTTTTGTAGAAGAAGCAACTTTGAAATCAAATGAGATGGAGAAATGTTGGCAGAGAAGCAGTTCTGAATATAAGAAATGGTTAGAGGGAAGCCAAGAGGTAAAAAGATATGGACCATTTGAAGAAAGCTCAAGGAGGCTGCCTCAAATATGGATGCAAAATAATTAAAACAGATGAAGTCAGTTAGTAAGGGCACGGATTTAAAAATTTCATCACCTGAAACAGCAGATAGGTAACAGAGAATTAGGGGAAGTAGAATTCTGGAAGAGTATTTCAGGCAGTAGCTCACAGGCTAGACTGAAGACTGAGGACATAAAGCCATGTGGAGAACGGGCATCAGAATGGGCATCAGAATGGACACCATCCAGGCATTGCCGATGGCAGTATAAACTGACACAAACCCTTTACAAACCCTAAAAGGGCAAGTGATTTGGCAACACATATTAGAAACCATAAAAATATTTATTCCCTTTGACCCAGAACTCCTACTCCCAAGAATTCATCGTAATGAAATCATCCAGGAGAGAAAAATTTTGTATGTAGGCATATTCACTGCAATGTTTTTTAATACTGTGAAAGAAAACAGTCAACCTGAACAACCACAAGAGACTGATAAAATGTTGTATAACAATGTTCTATTGAAATATCATTTCAAACTAATAAAATATTACATAGCAAATTTTAAAAAGACTCATCGTTGGAAAATTCTTTTTGTAATAAAAAAGAGAAATTTTTTAAATAAAGGATAAATGTCAGGCGTGGTGGTGCACTCCTGCAATCCCAGCTACTTGGGGGACTGAAGCAGTCTGAGGCTAGTTTGGGTAACTTAGCAAGACCCTATCTCAAAATAAAAATAAAAAAGGTCAGGGATGAGGCTTAGTGGTAAAGCACCCCTAGATTCAATTAATTCCCAGTACCACAAAATAAATAAGTAAATAAATAAATGAAGGATGAAGAATGAATGAATAAACAAGGAAGAAAAAAATGGAAGGGAGAAAGAACATGTTGTAAATCTGAGGACTATACTTAGGAATTTATAGACCTGAGGTTTAGTTAAAAACTAATATTAAAGATAAGGAAGCAGCAGACATCAGGCTTAAGTTGTAAACAGAAGCTCAGTAAAGGTTCAAAACAAATGTTCAAAACAAATAATCCTACTTAGAAACCAAGAAGGCTTATTTTTTTGCCATTCTACATAAAATATTAATTTTGTAAATTATCTGAAATAAATGTACCTAGTTAATATATTATGGTTCTCATATACTGTTTTGGGATTTATATGGAGGGGACAATAAAAAAGAAATTGACTTTTGGAAAGATACCCATTAAGTTATAAAAGTATCTTTTAAATAGTTCCTATGTAGAATTAATCTTTTTAGGTGATAATTTAGAATAATACTCAAGGGCTGATTTTTCCGTTGCATTTCAAATGCAAGGCTAATCCTATCATAAAACCTCAACATTTTTAAAAAGGGAAAAAAAGCTTTAAAAAGCTTCCTCTAACCAGCATGAGGGCTAATTTAATTAGAAAATATATTGGTATGTGAGGCATTACAAATTGAACTCAATGTACTAATCAATTCAGAAGCTCAACCCTCTAAGATTATCTGGATCCAACAGATGTTGGCTTCTATAAGGCTAGTTTCTTTTATCCAATTTGGATCACACCTAACATATTCAGTACCTCTAACCCTATTCTCTCCCCTTTCTAAAGCTAAAATGAGGGGAAAGGGAGCTAGTATTCCTACCTATAAGCACCTTTCTAGAACTGTTATCCAATAGTCAATCACCTCACCTTCTCTAAACACTTAATTTCCAGAGGAACAGGAGCAATAAGTCAAATATAAATGAAAGAGTAAAATCACTGTTCATTCAAGAGATCAAGCAAGCTAGAACAGCTCTGTGACACAAAACACTTGTTATGAAGACTCCTGTTAGGTTTTATACTGTATGAGTAGGCTCTACAAAGCTCAGGCATCAGACAGCCTTGAGTTTGAGTTCAGGCCTGCCACTAAGTGTGACCTTGGACAATTTATTCCACTTTACCACCACCAGATTTTCCTTATTTTTATGTATGGCACCTTGCACATGGCAGATGTTTATCAAATGGCCCTACTGTTTTTACTACATGGCTTGATACGGTGTCTAATCGAATATTGACTTATTAGAGAACTAGGAATTATTTCAAAAAGTTCTGAAGGCATATTCAAACAGCACAAATACAAGGGAATAAATCTAACTGGGGTGGTGTGTGTTGTGCTGTGTTTCATGAACAGAGACTACTTCTTGAACTAAAACTAAGTAATATATTACATAACCAAATCTGGAAATAAGAACAAGGTATAACAAAGAACAGCCCATTAAACATACTCCTCTGCAAAGACTCAAGAATAACTCAAAGAATCAGCTCACCCTTAGAAGTAGCACCAAAAAGTCCCTACACGGTCCAGAACATTTACATATCCGAATGAAATGTAGAGGCTATATTTCTAGAAATGTCCCAATATTAGGTCTCTAGGACTCAGATTATTTGAGCATATAAATGAAGACTTCATAGCTATTAGTGCAGTTTTCGTCTCTATAAGGACTACTCTTGGAGACCCATCTACTGATAGTACCTTCATTAACTGTTACTCTTCATTTGGCCATAAACTTACCCTATGTCCAAATTCTGCTGGAAGCTTGCTACAGGATAGTCTATATACCCAGATGGCTTTCCAGTTCCCATCATAGTTGATGACTCTAAGTCAGTTTCTTTACGTATTAAATGAGGAGTTTGAACCTAATTATCTTTGAGATTCCTTTTAATCAAAATATCATAATTCTAGCTTGGGGTATATCTCAGTGGTAGAGCACATTCTTGGCATTTGTGAGACCCTGGGTTTAGTCCCTAGTACCTAAATAAATAAATAAATAAAATCCTGTGATTCAAGGAATCCTAATTTACTGTGTACCTCAGGGCCCTTGATTGCTGTTTTTTGTTGATAATGATGATAATGATAGCAACCAAATCTCTCTGCTAAACCTGTTATCAGAATATGCCCTACAGGAGGAACTGAAGCTTGAATAGTTTAGACTACAGCAATACATATCCAAATGAACAGCTCTTTCTATAATTAAAGTAGAAGTGATTAGGGCTCAAAGGTAGCCAAAGGAAGCAGTATACTGCTCCTGGAAAAAAAAAAAAAGGCTTTTTCTTCTTTGTTCAAAAACACAGCTGGGCACAGTGGTGCATGCCTGTAATCCCAGCAGCTTGGAGGCGAGGCAGGAGGATTGTGAGTTCAAAGCCAGCTTCAGCAACAGAAAGATGCTAAGCAACTCAGTGACATCCTGTCTCTAAATAAAATACAAAACAGGGCTGCGGATTGGCTCAGGGGTTGACTGTCTCTGAATTCAATCCCTGGTACCTGAACAAACAAACAAACATGGGACAGGGAAGAGGTAACATGGCCCTACAAAGAAAGTCCTGGATAGGGCTGGGGATGTGGCTCAAGCGATAGCACGCTCGCCTGGCATGCGTGCGGCCCGGGTTCGATCCTCAGCACCACATACAAACAAAGATGTTGTGTCCGCCGAAAACTAAAAAATAAATATTAAAAAAAAAAAAAAAAAAGAAAGTCCTGGATATGGAATGTGTAGACTAAGTCTGTCACTTTCTAGTTATGTCCTCTTGAGCCTGTAGAGCTGCGCTGTCTCTCTGAACCTCGGTTTTCTATTGAAAGAGACAGAATACTGCCATCTCCCTTATAACTTTTAGTATAAGAGATAATATACAATATGTGAAAGTTCTTAGAATGACACATAATACATTGCAGGTACTCAATAGATGTTAACAGGTGGACTGAGAAGAGTAATAAAAAAAATTGCTCCTACTTAAAAAACAAACAAAAAACCCACCAATTTTCCTATTCTGAATCAACGTGTATTATGCTCTTGATGAATAAGCAAGTTCTTTCTGGGAGAGAGAGATTTTTCCCTTTCCCTAAGATAACAAGGGCTAGTGAATAAAACAAGAGCAGTTAGAAATCAGTGTCTCTGTAACACAGTAGAAAATAAGAGATTCCTGAAGTCAAACAGGTAACTGCTGTGCTAAACATGGTACAAGATACGCCATACTAATGATACCCACTATAAAGTGCAAGGGTCATGGCAAAAGGGAAAAAATGGAATATATCCCTAAATTTCTTATTGTTGTTAACTTGGTGCCACAAGTTTGGTTTTTGCCTTTGCTGTTCAAAGCTAACAATTAAGGGTTACTTCCTCAATGGCAGGCCCTGTTCTAAAATGCTTTATACATATAACTCATTTAAGCCTATCAACAACCCTGTGATACAGATACTATCATTATCCTCATTGGAAAGATGAGGAAACTAAGGCATAGCTAAGCTAAATAACCTGTCCCAGACTACACCTATTATAAAATGATGATCAGCATCCAGGCAGTCTGGCTCAAGAGCCTATGCTCTGGCTCCATAATCTCTTGAGTACCTTGATTGTTATGCTTACAATCCTGAGTGCACACCCCCTCGATGTAGTGTGCTCAGTCTTTGGGTATTATATTTCACTTAATTTAATCCTCACAATAAAGTAAGAAAATTATGTTATTATCTCTATTTTACAAATAAGGCAACTGAGACACAGGAGACCTAAAATAACTTAATCCACACCAGGTACAGTAGTACACACCTGTGATCCCAATGATTTGGAAGGAGGATTGTAAGTCCATGGCCAATGTCAGCAACTTAGCCAGACTGTGTGTCAAAATAAAAAATTAAAAGTGCTGGGGATATGTAGCTCAGTGATAAGGCATCCTGGGTTCAATCTCCAGTACCAAAAAGTAAATAACTTCTTCATAGTCATGAAGCTAATTAATGATAAAGTCAGAATTAGAAGGTTTATCTGATGCCACATCCCACCTTTCTTCCACTACACTTGAAAAGTCTGGTTTTATTAGAGAAATTAAGTAACAAAGAATTTCCCCTCTCCTCTTCCAATCAATGAACTAATCATTCTTTTCTTCCATCATTCATTCCTCTTTTGTTTAAATTCCTCAATGTTCCATTATCATCTCTTATTCCAAACATTTCTCAAATCCATTTTCCAGACAAAGAAACTGAAGCACATGGTATCCAGCTTCTATCTTAGAGTTTCAGTCTCCATACACCATAAGCTGGGCAGTTTCACTCCACCCCCCCATTCTTATTGCCTGACCACTGTTATCATATTTCCCCTTCCATTTCATCTGCTCCCAAAGTCTCTTCCTTAGAGGAGAGCAAAGCCTCACTGCAATATGAAGCTCAGCTATTTTCTTCGTACTATAATCAGCCCTACTATACTGATCCTACTAGAATCAGCATTAAACATGACAGTTTTCTTCTGAAAGAGCTAACCGACCCCCTTTACATCAAGTCAGAACATTCTCAGGGTTGGCTTGGCCAAAAAGTACAAGTATCTGGGAATCCTCTGAAGCACTTCAGAATATCATATTAAATAATACACAATGGGAATAACAACTTTAAAAACATTGCCAATGTGAAAAGGGGGAGCTGGAGATGTCCAGGACGTAAGCTTTGACAATGCTTGGCCAGGAATGGTAAATGGAGACCAACCTGGAGAGAGATCAAGGAGAGGAAGAGATAAATTGGAGGAAGCAAATCTGAGGTCTAATTAGTTTAGTCATGAAGGGAAAGAGAAATATTGAATGACGTGATAAGATCCAGTTGGAGGTTGTTCTTCCTCCCTCCTCTATGGAAGAAAGTTCTGATTTATTGCTGGGTATCTGGTAGACAGTAAATGCTAAATAAACATTAGTCGTTTCAACACAATGGCCAAGTTCTCTATTCTATTTCTATCTTTTGAAAATCAATCTATAGCTGCCTCCTATTTTTTCTGGAAAGCAGTAACAAATCAAGATAAAAGAATATAATCTACAAAGCATGAACTCCTACACATCAAGTGAATTTCTCCTAAATCAGATACTAAAACATCAGAAAGTGAAGGGACTGCTGGGCACAATGGCTGATGTCTGTAATCCCAGCTATTTGGGAGGCTGAGGCAGGAGGATCCCAAGTTCAAGGTCAGCCTGGGAACTTACCTGAGATCCTGTCACAAAATAAGAATTAAAAAGAGTTGAGGATGTAGCTCAGCGGTAGAGGACCCTGGGTTCAATCTTCATTAATGAAAAAGAAAGTGAAGGGGCTAAGATATGAATAAAACATAACCAATGCATCCTTCCAAAGAAAGTGGCATCGTAGAGAGAGCACTGAATATGGACCTGGACAACCTCCACTCAAATCTCTGCTCCATATTTTATTAGCTGTGTGGACCTAGGATTACATTGTCATCCTCAATTTTACCATTTTTGAAAGTAGGAATACCATCACTCTACTCACAGGGTTATCAGAAACATAAAAATGAAAGTTTTTCATAAAAAGGACCATGCCTTATTTTTGGATCTTTTTCACACAGGGCAGAAATGGCATACTGGCAGCTCAGTAATACAGACCATATGCAAGTGCAATAGTAGGCAAAGAGCAAACACAAAGGGGGAAACCATGCACTGAGGCTAAGAGAAGGAAGAAAGATGTTACATCTAGGGTGTGACTTGGTGTTGGGTGTACTTTCACAGAAGGGAGTAATCAGTCATTCCTATACAACAGTCTTCTAACCTAGTAAAGGTGTGGTATGCTACCTTTTGAAATGAACATGTAAAATTCCTGGAAGGAAAAGTAATGGAGAGCTAACGGGTCCCAGATTCAAAGAAGAGACTGGGATTTAGAACAAGATACTATTTCACTGCAAAGTTGTAAAGTGGAAAGAACAATAAATGGACAGTTTGAAGACCTAGGCTGAAATTTTGGCTCCCAAGTATGACCTTGGGCAAGTTAATCCATCTTGAGTCTTAACTGCAAAACACTGATAATACCTCACAGGATCGCTGTCAAGATTAAAGGATATAATGAATAGCAAAGCTGTTAATGCCATACAAATAATAGGTGTTATTAGGAGTTAGATTCTCCACCCACTTACAACATAATATGTCCATGACCTTGGGGGCGATTTCAGTTCTTTGCACCTCGGTTTCCTCATCTATAAAATGGGAAGGATGATAACATCTACCCTATAAACACTTTGAGGAATCAAATGAGATCATATATGAGATATCAACACCTTGAAAACTGCACAGTGGTGTAGGTATATAAAGAACAGCTATGGTTGCTGACATGTTTTATGCATGTCAAAGGCTGGGTTTATACAGAGAAGCGCGTATTTTTATGCTATACAGGTGAGGAAGCCTCGCATACATTTATGCATCCAAGAGTGCCGCACCGGGCAAAAAAACGAACAGGTATGGATTCTGGGGGTGTGACTGGCACGCTTAAGAAGAGGTCCCTACGACGGGCTGACGAACCAGGAATCAGAGGGGTGGGCACCGGAGTTGGGGTAGGGGGGGGATGAGGATGCACGGATGGGAAAGGCTGGGGGCACAAACACGCATGCCCAAGCCGGAAACCTTTTCGGGGGGGAAAGCAACGCGAATCCCCGGAATGAGGGGGGTGGGGAGGGATGCTATGTGCAAGCCCCGAGGGCGGCCCGGGGGTGCGTGAGCGCACGCCCGGGGCCAGAGCTCTTTACCTTGTCGCTGTAATCCCTTAGGACCCGCTCGATAGCCCCCGCTTCGCCGGCCCGGACGATGTAGAGGGCGCGCTCCTCATCCATGGCCGCAGGTGCGGGGGAGCCGCGGCCGCTCTGCGCTCCCAAGCCGCTGCCTCCAGGTAAACGCCTCGCGCCCCCGCTCGCTCGCTCCTTCTCAGCTTCCTTCCTTCCCTCCTTCCCTCCCTCCCTCCAGTCTCCAACCCGCCAGCCTCCGCCCGGGCAAGCCCGACGTCACCGCCCCTCAACTTTCACCCCGCGACGTCACCGCTCCCCAAGCAACCGGCGCCTCGCCGCCGTCCCCGACAAGGCCCAGCACTCGGTCGAGGCCCGGAGAGCGGCCTGAGGCGGGGTCAGGCCCGAGACCCTGCTTGCTCTATTCGGTCTCTCAGCCTTAGAGAAGAGCCCAGTCTTTTGAGCGGGCTTTCACGGACAGAACTGTTCTCTCCAGACGCTCCTCTATGAATCATTCTCAGCGGACGAGAACGACCCGGCTTTTCCCCGCCCATCTGCGGGCCTGCGGCTAAGTGCACTACAATTCCCTATATGCAATGAGGTCATCCCACTCTGCCTTCTGATTTACTGGGGTACCGAATGGCATGCCGGGATTGGTAGTCATCCAGAAGGACAGACTTTCCCCCCCCCTAAGGGCATGCTGGGAACTGTGGTCCTGCGAGGGCCGGAAACTGGAGTCCGAAGACCGCCTGAGGCCAGCTGCGGCGAGACCGTTAGGGGGAGGGTCTAAGTTTCTGCCGAGCCTGGGTTTTTGTTCTCTACGCCGCTGACCGTCCTGCTCCAGACTTGGCTGGTTGGACTGACTGGCGGTCGCGGAAACTGCCACTCCTTGCGGGGAGCTGTCAAGCGCCGGTTACTTCCCTCTGTTCTGGTTTAGCGGTTTCGGTCTCTGAGATTCCTGCCTTCCTTCCTCCCTTGCTTGCGGTCGTGTCCTGCAGTCAGTTACGCGGGGAATGAAAGGCAGTTATCTCGGGATGAAAGGGAACTCGGCGAGTTTTTTGCCTTTATGGTAAATGCCGCCGCGCGTCTCGTGCCCACGGAGTCCCACACCGTGTTAGGTGGCTTCCATGGAGCCTCTGATTTCACAGCACAGATTTTTTTGTGGAACTAAAAGGAACCCGAAGAGGTTCAGCAATTCGGCCTAAGAGAAGTCGAGATTTGAATGCGGGTCTTTCCCTGAAGGTAGATGTCAAAGTACCGAGGCAGTAGGAGAGGAGGTAGCGATGGAAGAGGCTCGCATTGGCGAAATGTTGACCAGCTGCCAACCATGCACTGTCACATACTTCCTGTGTTCGCTCAGTTTCTCACAAATTCATTCACAAATATTGAGAACCTGTGCTGTGGCAGGCACTGTTCAGTGCAGCGTGGGTACAGTGGGCCCCAAAGAAAGTCCCCGTCTTCGCGGAGCTTCGGTGCTAGTGAGCAACTAACTCTTTGAACAACTGTTACAATCATGAGGAAACAGCCTTAGGTTAATTAACTTATCAAAATTGCAGATTTTGGAAACTGTGAATTTAGAGCCCGTGCTTTTTCTGTTCTCCCAGGCTTTTTGGTGAGAGTGGATAAATTCTCCAAGCGGAGTCCAAGTTCTGCACTCTAAGCAATTGTCTTTGATGCCACCCCCTCCAGCCTGTCCTTCTTGAGCTGTGTTGAAAAGGAAATGGAGTACAGTTTATTCATCTAATAATTTTTTTTTCTATATTGTGCTAAGTATTCTGCTAGACTTTGGGAATTTGGAGGTTAAAAAAAAAAAAAAAAAACAAAACACTAAGCCTGTGGGACTTTTGGTTTTTCTGAGGATTATACTTTTCATGGAGCAAACATTTATTGAGCATATTGTTGAGCCCCAGGCATCATGGTGTGTTAGTCAGCTTTCCATTACTATTACAGAATACCTGAAATAACCTAATAAGGGAAAAGATTTATTTTGGCTCATAATTTTAATGAATGGTTGATTGGCCCCCACTGCCTTTGGGCCTGTGGTGGGAAGTTGAGGTGGAAGAAACTGCTCACTCATAGCAACTAGGAAGCAAAGAAGTAGATTAAGGGGCAGGAGTCCCAATGTCCTCTGTACACCATTCCCCAATGACTTAACTTCCTTCAACTAGGTCTCATTAACTATCAGTAGTGCCATGGGCTGGAGACCAAGCGTTACCACATGGTACTTTGAGGGACATTTCAGATCTAAATTATGAGCAGGATAAGTGCTGCATCTGTAATGAATTGTAGGAAAGATTTAATCCATCTCTTGAAAAAGCACTCTTAGGTCATGAAACCGTAAGCCACAATCCTAAGATGATAATAATATCTTGCAATTATTAACAGTTTATAAAACATTTTAATATACTGTATCTCAATGGATCATTGAAGAAGGTATTGTCCTCACTTCATAGATAAGAAAACAGGGTCATGTGAATTAATTAACATCAATGGGACTGAAACTTTTAGCTGTTGACAAATATTTGGATACCTACTCTGTGTCCAGTGATGTACTAAGTGCTTTTTGGGTAACCTTATATTTATTTTTGGAATAAGGTTCTCCTGAAGAGGATATTAACAAACAATTATCCCAGTAAAGATGTTTCCTTTAAAAAGGGTCTTACACATGTCTTGGAAGTGTCTGTCTGCTAGAAATAAGCTATGTTTTTATGCTTTCAATCCTATACTTCTAAAAAGAGATGGAAAAAAATGTGAAATCACATGAATTAATGGCTTGGGAAATTGTATTTTAGTAATTTTAATTGTTAATATTCTGATTTCATAATGAAAGGATCTTTGATTGTAATTCAAGTCATCCTTTAACCACTGATGAGACTCTGGTCCCTGAAAAATTAAATGGTTTGTCCAAAGTCAATAGTGAAAAGCAGACACTGGGACAAAGCCTAGACTAGCCACTTCATCACTGTACCTCCGTAAGTATTAGTTATGTGAGACTTTCAGTGACCAGAGACTTTTGTCCAGCACTCACTCCAGTACGTATGGATTTTTAGGTGGCATGGTACCAAGGAATTAGGATTTAGAGCCTTCGTGATCAAAGCAATAAGTCACTTATTCTCAAGTCAGTGCTCTGAGAGAATGTAATAACATAGATGAATAGTGCCTCACTATGGTCAAAATATATTCACATGAATATCTGATTTAACCCTTATAATAACTGAAAATGTAAGGTCAATAGGACAGGCACTATCTTCTTTCTTACAGAGAAAGGGGAAGTTCAGGGTGTCTATTAGCTTACTCATGAGCAAATAAGTCTGCTAATAAGTGGTATCATTAAGGGGTAAGTGCTTTGGGCTCTGATAACAAAATGTTATGGACTTTCAAGTTAGTGCCAATGAAAAAGCCTGCAAATAGATACTAGTCATTTATTTTGGACTTTGATATATCCTGCTGTGGCATTTCCTCTTGCCATGACAATGGACTAGTTGGAATGTGCCAAATTCAAGGTCTTTAAGGAGTACCTGGTGCTAACAGCTTTTAAAATCCACACTTCCACTTGCAATACTTCTGTATGTTTTCTTTAGAATAAAGCAGAAATTTAGAAATTAAACAAATCAGTCTAGTGATTGCAACTCCAGAATTGGAGTTCAGAGCATTATATTCATTTAAGGTGAGGTAGTATAAAAAACAAAAACAAACAAACAAAGAAAAAACCCAAAACAAATGATAGGTAGAAAGGAGACAAAGGATGAAAAAGGAAATTGTAGCTTTAATCTGAAAACCTTGGGCTAAAATTCCTCATTCCTTTTCTCCCCAGACCAGTTTTTTCTCCTAGTCCTGTCACTCCCAAATTCTTGAGAAATCTGTAAATGTTAAAGTTACTGTAAATTCACTCACAATGTTAAAGTTACTGAACATTCACTCACTTACGAAAATTGCCTGGTGCACTGTGAATTTGCCTACGCAATGTACTAACACATGTATTTTTAGATTAGATCAAACAAAGGGAGATATCATATTTTAAGGAATCGGTAATAAAGGGTACATTGCCAAGGTTATCTGCTGATCAGATAGAAGAGACAATGTCAACCTAAAGACCCTGAGAATGGCCAGACCACCATAAACTGTATTGTGATCACCAGGCTGATGTCATACCCACATACCATTCCATGCCCATCCTTCATAAAGCTTTCTTTAGAAGTCTGAGATTCCAAAGCACTCTTCTCACTCTCAAGATAACTGGCATTCTTCCCTAAAAATATGAATAATTACCTTTCACTTTTTTTTTTTTTAATACCAGAGATTGAACCCAGAGGCGCTTATCCACTAAGCCACATCCCCAGCCCTTTTTTGTATTTTATTTAGAGACAGGGTTTCACTGAGTTGCTTAGAGCCTCAGTAAGTTGCTGAGGCTGGCTTTGAACTCACAATTATCCTGCCTCAGCCTCTGGAGCCACTGGGATTACAAGTGTGTGTCCCTCCCCCCCAAGTAGAGGTTTCTTCGCCTCCTCAATCACCCTAATGGTGACAAAGACACCACCTATGTGAGGCCACTCATTCAGTATCCTCAGCTATAAAACAAAAGAATTGATCCAAGTATTATTTTTCTCTTAGTTCTAAAATTTTGTGATTTTAAAACAAAAAACATTGATTAGATATGTTCAATCTTAAGAAAAATGTATTAATAAGAGGGTTTGCATACATCAACTACCAATACTATGATATATGCAAATTATTGCTTGAGCATACCCACAAAGATTCTACTTCAGTTGAAATAAGCCAGTAGGATTGAAAACCACTTAACCAATATTTTGGTAAAGGATCAACCACTGGACTAGATTTTAAACTCATGTGCTTATAACTTAGTCTTTGAGAAATTAGAATAACCTGGCAAAATGTAAGTTACTCTTTTCTTTTCTACCAAGAATGAAGACTCAGGCTTGGCATGTAGTGGTAAAACGCTTGCCTAGCATGTGCAAGGCCCTGAGTGTTTAATCCCCAGCACCATAAAAAAGAAAAAAGAATGAAGTCAACCTTTCAGCAAAGCTGATCAATATAATTTTTTTAAAAGAAATACTTAGTGCTCTTTGGAGCACAGCATTGTCTTAGACATCATGAAAATTAAAAAGTAGAAATAATTGATCCTCTTTTGTGGATGTAAGATACAATAAATTGATTTTACTGATAAGGAAATTGTACATAGTTACTGTACAGATCAAAGCAAGATAAACTTAAT